ATGCTTTTTCCTGTGTTCCAACTGTAACTGATCTCTCTAGTACCCCAGAATGAAGAGTTTATGACAAACCTGGGGTACATGCTCTTGATCTACTGGCTAGCAAAAGCTTAACACCATTTTATGCCAAGTCTTATTTTTTGAAAGACTCCTCTTAACTCTAAGGTTTGGGTATATGGTTTGTTCCACTTAACCCTGTGATCCGGGTTTCATAGTGTGCAAAAGAGTGTGATAGAGCGAGTACTAGTGTAACAGCACCCAAGGTTTGTATACTCTGATGCACACGCAAAAGGACTCAAGAGGATAGTGATGAAGAAGATATAGATAGGAGTTGGTAGACTCAATTTGTTGGGAACACAGCAAGCATAACCAACTTTTGTCATACTCATAATTGATGGAAAAGTCTGAAAGTAGCTGAAATATTTGATTGCATTTTGGACCTACAAAATGATGTCTTTTTGTTGACATATTCCCATAAATACTATATTTTTGTGTGAATATATATTATTATAGGCAAGATACTATAAGTGCTCTTATAGCCTATAGCAGTCTACATAGCTCCTATAGCTGTAAAGGTCATAGTTGTAATATAGTTCAAGGTGCTTAAAAGGGCTAATAAATCATCCAGTATCAATTGATTATGTAGCCTGTATTAGTGAAATAGTAGTTTGTATCCCTAATACTCACAAAATAAGAATAATGATTTATCCAAATATAAGTAGTGACAATGAGTAAAAAAATAATCTAAGTCCATAAAAGGTCAATATATAACACCTGTATAATATGTTTTATAAGCTTTCATGGTGTAGTGGATAAATGTGATGTGTGGCTGTAGGTTGCTTAGTCACCCAAGAGCTGACTAGCAGGTTGAGAGTTCAAATCCTGTTTGTGTTAATTTTTTTTAATCAGCCACACAACAATTTCCAACATCTATAAGAGCATTTATAGAACTATATGAGGCTCTATAGACGGCAGAGGTTCTATAACAGGTTTGACCACTATAACAGCTTTATGAGTACTTATAGTGCTATAGAGCTCTAGATAGCTACCCCCATTTTTCCTGATGTAATTGAGGTCGTTGACATGGAATTACAAGTATACTTATGGTGATGTTCTGATCAATGTCTACGCATGGTTTGTTTGAGGTCCGAAAAACATCTATATTGAACATTTGAGAGATGCTACAAATTTGGCCACGGTACAATCAAGACTGTAAATATTATATAGATGACAACCATACATCCCCAATACCATCCAAATACCTCTCGCAGACCTTGGATCTAATGCCCCCATAAATACCTGTGCCACAACACATTATTGAGGTTTGATTTAATTATTCGGTGAACCCCGGACCAAGGGTCTGGCCAGGCTTACTGCTGATAAATGGCTTAGGATTTTTGTCAATCATGGGTAAAGTATGAGACAAATTTAGCGGTGTACTTGGGCGTATTTGGAAGCAGAGCGTTGATAGAAGGAACAACTGTCTTCCTTCTAAATGGTATGCCTAGGGGAGACTACCTCATTGTCAAGTGTAGCTTGTAATACTCTCCTTCATGTTCACTCTAGCTTACTTAGAAACTCCCTTCCTTTAGTTAGCTATTCTCAGACTTTATGCTTCAGGACTTGTAGTTGTAGGGCAGTGTCTTACTGAATAAATAGTAGACTTAAAATTGTCATATTTGGAACGCTCAAGAGCTCACTTAATACCCTCATCTTCCAGTGTGACCATTACACTACTCACAGTAACTTTGTCACCTAAGCCGCCCAGTGAGTCAGCCTTACTATAGTGGGTGATCACATCTCTCACCCACTATTGTTAGGCTTGATTTTGCAGAAGGCTCAATGCCAGCGTTAAAGATTGCCCCAAACATGGTGCTAGCCTTTTCTCCAGCATCGTTGCTTAGCAAAGCGGCATGCTCAGCACTGGCACCAAACACTCAGTGTCCGATTCTGTCTAAGTCTGCAAGTCATATATATCTGAAGCCCTTAACCACCACTACCTCGTCATCACCATCGTTGTTCTTGTTGTTCTTGTTGTTTCCCAACCTGCCATCATTGCTGTTGTTCCTTTTTTATCTTGTGCACCTCTATCTCATTGATCATGGAGTGTCAAGACAGGTTGCAGGTTTGTCAAAATCCACAATTTCTCATGGATTTAACAGGTTTGTCCGCTACTCTGAGATCTGTACCTCTGAAAAGCAGGCAAAATGCGTGGAAGAGGCTGATAATAAATGTCAGGCAGAAATACTAAGTATAGATTTTATGATTTGCTGTTTTACCCATTAATCACATATTTTTAGGCTTATCTGCGGAGGATCGTGATGTTGTGGAGAACATGGTAAGTGACTCTGGCATGGAAACTAATAACTATCAATACACAGTGCCCCCAGGCAAGGAAGGCTTTACTCTCAGCCATGAAGGAGGCAAATACAAAGCCTACAAAGACACGACAAAGCAGATAGCTGATCTTACTGTCTAGTATATCCTTCCCACCCCCCTATTATAAGTAAACTGTCCTTTTGATACATATTGCACTCAACTTAAAAATCAACATTGGGGCGATCAAATAGATAAACTTGTTGCAGCATATTTGGAGTATCTGGTGACACAATGGCTGAATATACAATCATTGAATTGGAGGCATCAGATGTTCCTGTTGATAGTGATTGTGTATCACTAAAGGATGTAGAATTAGTTGAAGTCTTGTTTTGGATAGCTGTGATGCTGATGGTAATGGAGCTATCTATGTAGTGCAACATCGGGCTTCATTAATAGCCAAACCGCATCATCAATATCCCAATGAGATACTAATCTACCATGGCTTCCTTGGTTGTTCGCCACTCTACCCCACTGTTGCCATTTCCATCTGTACTCTTGCAGCCTATCAACAATTACATAGAACATGTTCTTGCTTTAGCATCCAAGCTCAATGAAAAGCTCTATGTCATCTTCATAGTGTGAGTGCTTTGCTGTATATTGGGATAAACTTTTAACATATTTTTTTAGATGCCTTACAGACCTTACCTTGACACTCAATTCAACACCACTGTTGATATGTATCTTGAACTTCTCTATTGTGTTGACAGTCTTATCAAAGCAGCTTTGAAGTGGAACACACCAGATTGGCGTCTTATGCACTCATGTCCTGCTTGTTTTTACAAGTTGAAAGATGTGATAAAATTGGATAATGGCCAGACCAGGGATTAAACCTGGAACCTTCTGGATACATGCTAGCTGCTCTACCAATTGAGCTATATGGCCAAGGTTATACAATGTAGGATCTTAAACATGACATGCAACCATGGACGTCTTACACAGAATAGCTGCTGCATACTGGGCTGGCTTACAGATCAGAGGTATTATCCTATGGGGTATTGGTATGTCAGAGTATATTCTAACAAGATGAACCCTTGCTTGGCATTAACTGGCTTGTTTTTATGGACGGAAACAATAGCCTGAAGCAATGGAAGCCATCCATCCTAGGATATACAGAAAGAGAAGACTCATGGAAGTTGTGGACAGACTATTGGATAGATCCATCATCAATAGACAGGGCTCAGGCTGCGAGCATATATTCTCATCTTCTAATGATCTAGCTCGAGGTACAAGGCACTCAAGTCAGTTTCACCGTCATCAAGCTATCGAAGAACATTTTGCTTTTTGGGATATGGATAAATATGTATCACTCAGTGCTTTTCCATTCATCTCCACTACACATTGCTCAAAATATAATATATTATAGGCAAATTTCTTCAAAATCATTATTGTGAAGCTCTCCTCATGGTCCAAACTCTAGCCATAGAACTCGAAACCATCAAGGCAAAGTTAAAAATTGATACACTGACTTCAACAGATTTTACACAGAGGAAAAGAACTATCTTGAGTCATCCAAACAATTTCCAGTCTGCAATCAGCTTCATGTTTGCTATGTACATGCACTGGATGATCTTACAGAGAAACAATAGGTGATATCTTAGTAGAATCTTCGCTAGTATGCTGACATTTGCAAATCTAGGCAGGAGTGGATTAGTGCTCAAGGAGCAGCCAACAATCTACTTACCGGTGTTACAGCTGTGAGTCTAGATCAGATCCAGTCTAATCTCACTGGAGCCCATATTTGAGTTGATACGGCATACACAGACAGGGTATTTTGAGGTATTATTGCAAATTGAGCAGCGTTGGGTTGGGGGACAAGAGTACGCCCAGCACAAAGAAAAAGTATTGCAGTCTAAATATCAAACAGCTTTAGACAATCTCAAATGGTTGGTTGTTATGCAATTATTGGAGCTTTCAGAGCTATCATTATCTGGTACAGGTTTGTAGTTACTTTTATCATTATAAAACATTGTCAGCTAATTTTTATTGACAGGTTATAAACTACGACAACAGATCAGTAAAGGCTTGCAGCGTTGGTCTCAAGCTATACAGAATGTGATTAATCAATACAATAAGGAGGTGGAACTGGATTTTCTGCTGCTAAGTTTTCCCTTGCTTATTTGTCTTCCTCTTTTGCCAGAGCTAAAAGTGCCCACCTGATAGCAAGTGTGGTCATCTCGTCGTTGTGGGCTTTGTTTTTTCTTTTTTCTGCTATTTTGGTTTGTGTCTGACACTTGGGCTGAGAGTCCAACACAACTTGTCCAGGGTGCTGGCATGTATTCTTGGCACAAGTGATTGGTCGGCTCATAGTTAAGAGGATAAGGCAAGAGGTAGAAGTGAGAAATGGAAATGGGGTACATATCAATAGGTGAGCAAGTATTTTGAAAATACTTTTTGCACTTGTGGTGTGGCTAACAGCCTGTCGCACCCCCAGGGTAATGTGACTCAGAAAATGTAACAATGTGTAGCTGCGTCTCTCTTTTTTGGTTCTACATCCAATGTATTCAACTTCCACAACCCACAGATCACAATCCTGTTAATCTCACAATGCCAAGTTGCTTTGTTGTGACACCTTGGGCTGCAAACGATGGTTTTATAATCAAAGTGGGCTCACAAAGCACATAAGGATGCACCACCTGTCCTTTTTGAACACTACACAGCTCCAGCATCAAAATTTGACTCAGAACAAGACTGAACAGGATGCTATACAGGATGCGACAGAAAAAGATGTGGATATAGAAGACACAGCAACACAGGATGAGGATGAGGATCAGATGTATGATGAGGACATAGAACCTGTGCAAAATGGTGACGAGGACATCCCTCCACATGAGGAAAGGCCAGATCCTGAGTTTGAATACCATCTGTTCATTAATGATGATTATTCTGTTTTTTTACTATTTCAATCTTTGATTATTTATTCAGGTTTGCCGTGTGATGAACACGGTGTCTATCTACCTGCAGGAGAGCCGCCTATTCCACTGCGAAATCCCTCCAAGGACAACTGGACACTATATTGTGATTGCATTGAATTTGAAGCTGCCGAACTGCTGTATAAGAAGACACAGGTGTCCTCAGGGGATATTAATACACTCATGGACTTTTGGCATGCATCCTTCATCAAAAACGGCCTACAGGAAGATTGTGTGCCTTTTGCCAGTGCTGATGACCTTTATAGGACTATTGATCCACCATCACTTGGAGACATTCATTGGCAATCTTTCATGTTTGCTTACAACAGCAAACTTCCAGACACTGATATCCCTGACTGGATGACTAAATCTTATGAAGTCTGGTTTTGCAGCCCACACGCCATCATAAGAAATATTCTTTCAAATCCAGACTCTGCAGGATGGTTTGATTACAGGCCCATATGTGAGTATGACAGCACAAGCAAGCAGAAATACCATTATTTCATGTCTGGCAATTGGGCATGAAAACATGCAGACAAAATAGCTTAAGATGCCAACACTTATGGATCAATGTTTATCCCAATCATCCTTGGGAGTGATAAAACAACTGTTTCTGCTGCAACAGGACAAAACAGATTCTATCCAATTTATATATCTATAGGTAATGTACATAATAGTGCGCATCAGGCACATAGAAATGCAGTCGCTCTTCTTGGGTTTCTTTCTATTCCCAAGAGTATGTCTTTGACTTTCTTCAAACATTGAATGGGCTAATTTCTGAATTTTAGCTGCAAAAAAATATACAAATAATCCAAGGTTTTGCAAATTCAGACTGCAGCTTTTCATAGCTCTGCATGACATATCCTGCAGGATCTCAAGCCAGGAATGACAACACCTGAAGTAGTGTGATGTCCGCTCAATTTAGACAAGTAATATATGGTCTTGGTCCATATATTGCAGACTATCCTGAACAAGTCCTTCTGGTTTATATTGTACAAGGCTGGTGCCCTCAGTGAGTAACTTATAGGTATTGATTTTGGTGGTCCTAACTTTCTCTCTGCAGATGTATTTCAATGACAGATAACTTAGATGTATCAAGGGTTTGACAGACTCAAGGTCACACAGAAGCTTTGGTTAGTGCCTTTAACTTAGTGTACTGTGGGACGAGTATGGAATAGTGGGTGACATTGTGGTACATACTTTGAAATTTCTCCATTAATATGCCATAAGAGATAAAGTCCATACCTCTATAGCCATTTACTAATGATTTCCCTTGTGCCGATATTCACGAGATACTCTCCCCTGATCTCTTACACCAAATCATCAAAGGCACATTCAAAGACCATTTGGTCTTATATGTGGACAAATATCTTGTCCTAACACATGGCAGAAAATGTGCAGACCAAATCTTAGATGATATTGACTCTTGGTAAGTAGTGTTGTTCCTGACTTTCCAAATTCATACTTACAAGCCCCCAAACAATAGTATTGCTGCTGCACTATCATATCCTGGTCTACGCAGGTTTCCCCAAGGCTGTGGATACAAGCAATGGACGGGGGATGACTCCAAAGTGTTGATGAAGGTATATTTATCCCATATTGCTCACATAGTGACTAATTAACTATCCTAGGTCTCTCTTCCTGCGCTTGTGGGTCATGTACCTGATGGCATTGTACTCACCTTCCATGCATCTTGAAACTTCTGTTAAATACAAGACAACAATACAATTGCTAAAGTTAAAGATGCACTGGTACATTTCCATCAGCATTGAACTATTTTCCAGACCCTCGGTGTTCATCCTACTGGCTTCTCCCTCCCTTGCCAACATTCTCTCACGCACTACTCTCTCCTCATTTGTCAGTTTAGGGCCCCAAATGGCCTCTGTTTGTCTATCACTGAGGCAAAGCACATCAAGGCCGTCAAAGAACCTTCAAAATGTTCCAGCTGTTATGAAGCCTTGAGACAAATGCTTACTACAAACCAACGTTTTAACAAGCTAGCAGCATCATGTGTGGATTTTACAAGCCGAGGGATGCTTGAGGATGATATTCTAACATATGCATTGGCCAATGCTGACTTAGAGCTTGAAGGTAAGTTTTTTCTTCTGTGTAACTACATGGTTAGTCAACTAACTCTTTTCAGATCTTAGGGACATAGAAGAAGATGCTGATGAAGTCAGGACCAGCAACCAAGCCCACATCAACGAGGATAGCTCTGAAAGTGGGCCTGTAGGAGGACCAGTGACAGTCAGTTACACGATCATAGGTACTTGGTGTTGATGATGAGAACTGTTGTTAGAAAACCACACACAAAACAAACTAACACAAAATCCTCCCAGATTCCACAAAAATTGTTTATGGGTTTTGCCTCCTAGAACAGTGGGTGCTCTGGTTGTTCATGGGGTGGTATGTATGACGATCCTTCAAAGTAAAACCCAGAGATGTATGGGTGTGGGTTTTGAGGAGGAGGGATAGTTGAACTATAGAAAATAGGGGCTTTTTGAGACAAATATAGGATGAGTACTACCTTGCTAATCTTAGCACAAGGTAGGTTTGAGAATGATAAAATAATGAGGTTCCCAGTGATAGCAGGCTCCTGACGCACAAACTGTAGTGCTCAGAAGGACTCTAATTGAAAGGGATAACAATCACTTTCAAAAGTGACGAGTGACAATGACAGCAGTCAAAAGTAGTAACAGTGGGAAGTGTTGTGACTACACTGGATCACAAGTAGCAGAGTAGTGAACTTAAGATTTAGAGAAGAAGTCTGGATTGGATTTCTTGTTGTTTTTTTTGCATTCTAAAAAAATATGTGTCCATAAAAATGATTCAAAAATCAAAATAATTGCACTGCAAATAAATGTTCTGCTGAAAAAAAAGAAACTGGAGCCACCGGTCCACCACCTAGTCCAAATCCAACGGTTCCATGGCCTTACCAATGGACTGGTTGTGTTGGACCACCTGGACAAACGAGGGAGGGAGAGGAGTAGTTCCAATTTGGAACAAGTGAGTCCCAGGCAGCGTGTGGTAGGTGTAGCTGTAGCGAAGACAATGGATAAAAGATAAGTGTACCAAAGTGAATGGGATAGCAATGAACCTTCTCCAGCTCAAAAACTACCCACCCACACTCCAACCAGTCTAACCAGGCAAGACAAGCGACTGATGTTTTGATAGTATATGATGGCAGATTGATGTCATGAAGATGGACCTGTTGCCCTATTTGGACTGGCTGCCAGGGCTTTGCTGATATCAGCAGTGGCATGTGGTAGTCAACGGATTGGTGACGGAAGCGGATAGGAAGTGGTGACATCAGAAATGGTGGGGGAGCAAAGAAGATGAGGAGGAGGAGGGTGGAGGTGACAAAGAGGTGGATTAGAATGGGGATCCAGAAACAATTGTCGGGTGAGAATAAAAAGAAGAGGAAGGGGCCAATGGTGGGGCTAGGCAAAGGAAGGGGAGTAAGGGAAACGATGAAGGCGAGGGCGCAATGCAATGTGTAGCCAGTGGTGATGCAAAAATTTGCCGAAATGCCGAAACACGGAAATTTACCGAATGGAAAGCAAAGGTGAGCACGACTGGATTGCCTAATAGAGGTGGTGCTGATCAGCCACAAGATTGAAAAAGGCAATATTAATTACTATTCCACGTGGCACTGTACCTGTGTGGCGCAAAGGCAAGTCTTTTTGAATATTTGCTTTGTCATTGACACCTGTCCATGCTACCAATCAACTTTGGTGCATGACATTGGCGCCGTAAGTTTTTGTGGTCTTGTAAATTTGTGTTAACTAATTATGTACATAACTAGTATTATAATAACACATTTCCGGACCTTTAATTTTCATTCTCACCTTTAACCTTTTACTGTAGTTTTCTCACATTGTGCCATGCGGCACTTTCCCTTGTGTTCAAACTCCTCTTTCTCGCGCTGCACTACCCTTCTTCTTATTTTAGCTACAAGTCTCTCACCCTGTGGAGCTGGTCACACGGACTAGGCCCCATGACATCATCAGCCACTGCCTTTATCAACTGTACAGTACATATGTACAAACAAACCTGTAGTAGTATATATAGACCAATAGATCAAGGAGACTCCTCAGCAAGTCCTCCTATTGTATCCTCACAACTAACTTGTTGAAGCCTAAAGGGTAACCACTCCCTCATCATTTATCTCTATAGTTGGTTCTAGTTGTGCGCCAGAGTAACAAACTCTTGGTTGTTACAACCAGAACCTAACTACATGCAAACACCTCAAGAACTCGGAGCACAAATCCAACGACCGTCCTTTGTAGAGCACATCCGACAATTTTTATACAGCCAGGAACATCTGGACAGCCCAGATGCTCCCCCTCATATGATGTTCCCTTGAGAGGTTGCCCCAGGCTTTCCCCCAACACAAAAATATCAGTGGTACACTCTGCAACCATATATTTCCACACACCAAGTGACAAAAGTGGTGTTTATGGGATGCATCGTGAAGTGATCTGCATAACGCCAATGTGGCAAAAAGGTCCAGCTTGGCATGACACAGTATTTGTAGAACGCAACACAACACTCTCTGGCATGCAGGCCTTGATGTTGTTTGTGTTTTACTACTCTTTTCTTTTTCCTATCGAGGAGTTTGCTACCCATGTGCATTAGTGCAGTGCTTTTTCCACATTGCTGATGAATGTGATGAGCTCACTGGGATGTGGATTGTGCATCCAGATTACAATGAGGATGGCTCACCTACACTTCAGGTTATCCATACAGACTGCATCATGTGAGCGGCTCATATGATGCCTGTTTTTAGTGAAGCTTTGATAGGAAAAGATATCAACTGTGACAACTCTCTTGATTCTTTTGACTCATTCTATGTGAATAAATTTATTGATCACAATGCGTTCAAAATCACTTTCTAGTCTTAATTGTCTTATTAGTCATTATTCAGAACAAATTCATCTTAGTCTTTCTTAACCACTTATAATGGCTTTTTGGTCTTGTGACCATAATTTTAGTCTTAGAATATATCTGACAGCTTTATCTTGGCCTTAGTGTCACTTATATGCCTTTGTTGGCTTGATATGGCTTGATATGGCTTGACATAGCTTACAATTAAAAATACGACGCCTAAGGTACATGTAAATTTCCTGATGAATTGTATTGACCTGATTCAACAAATTGAGTGCAGCATGATCCTGTACAGTCAAGTCCAAATACCTACCTTCATTCCGGAGATGAGATGCTAAACGCTGTAGTGTATCAGGGGATACAGCTGTCAAATTTGTTGCTATGGAAACAAAATGTGGGCATTTAACAACAAAGGATGTGTGCAAATGAGCTGCACGACGCTGGATGATGTTAAGAACTACAAAAATAAATGAATGGTGATATCTCAGTGACTTGTCAGGAATTCTGAAGTAATACTGTGCCTGTTGCTGAAACAATAGAGGTGTTGGCCTTTTGTTATCATCAAATCCACCTATATCAAAAGGAAACAATGTAGGGCACATACCAGGCATAAGCTCAGGATTGTTGTACTCAGGTACAGCAATGCTGCTACGAGACAGAACCAGGTCAGGCTGAGGATCAGAACTTGAAGGCAATAAATTCCTCAGTGTAGCCGTTGTGAATGTACAACCGGACATACTGGAACACTCTGGGTCCAACACACCCATCTTTTCCATCAATGTAACAGGCTCTTGAGTGTGCAACAATAATCTCACGGGGTGTTCACTGAAGCCAGTAGTCTTTTCCTGGAAAGTTTTTTTGCATCACTCTTGTTGTTGTGAATCACACAATCACATATACTGGGCAAATGACTATCCTCAGGATAAAGGGACACGATGGATTCATCTAGAGGTATGCTGGAATACAGTTGGTTGTGTGATCACAGCCAAAGTAGAAATCTCCACACCTTACTCTTGCATATCCTGAACATTGGGCATATTCTTGGCATCAAACTTTCCGGGACCAACAAACACAATGCTCAGCATTCCATTAATGTCAGCAGGAGTGAGAGGAAGTACCAAAGCAGTAGATATAACATTCATCTCATGAGCGCACATGTTACCATGAAACACTTTGGGTTGAGAGGGGTCTGAGGACTGATATAATCATGTAATCTGAGCAGTGTTGCGATAAATTGCACATACCATCTCTTTGACCCATATCAGGTCCTCAAAGTATTCTGGCAAACAACCACAGTATAAACAATTTGCAAGCACAAAACGCGGTATTTTGGCCTTCACAAGCGAAGACTTGCATTCTGCACAAACATTTCAGTGTAGCACCTGATTTGCACAAAGACTGAATATCATCTTTATGTAGCATTACACCCTGTAAAAATGGACATCCAAATATAAACTCAGTAAATGGACTTTGAACTACACACTTCTCAACAATAAAAGGATCTGAGACACTTAGAAGATCCAAGTGAATAGGGAGACAAGCATTTTTGACGACAATAGAACTTGTTGACAACACACAGCACAAATATGACCAAGGGTCTATTTTGAGTCCTCCATGTAGTTGTTCAGGTACTTGTATACAATGTTGTGGGGAACCAACTCCGGCCAAGAGGCCTCGCACCATGCTTCAGTCTCGCAGATGTCAGCTAAATCCAAAAGTTTCTTGTCCCTGTGAGCTAATTTCTTTTTATCTCGGGTCAACATCACAGCGGTTGAAAGACAGTTGATGACGCAGTTGCCATACTTGTATTGGAGGATGAGGGTCAGACAATCGCCGCAAGAACTATCAAAAGCATGGAAGAAAGGCGGGCAAGCTAGCACGGCATCATAAAACATTACATCATTGAGGGATATCAAGTGCAGCACTCAATTTTTCAGGTGCTGGACCAACAACAAACAACACTGTCAACGTGATCGGACATTGTACGAAGGACAATGTACAACGTTGATGGCTCAAATACACTTGACCACATCTTCTTTAGGTAGTCTTTCCAGTCTTTTCACAAGTTCCGATGCAGACAAACCAATCTATCGGATACCACAGGCATCAAAGGTGTCTTCGGGAATTGTGGACAATGTTGATAAAGCCACAGGAGGCACTCTCATTGCGGCAGAAACGTCAGGACCATACAAATCAGCAAAATAACAGCTAATTGCTGTTGAATGGGACACATCAAGTGACAGTCTACTCATAGCCACAATATCAGAAGTAGGCATCAAAGCCATACATGTTCTCTCATACACAAAGTGCAAAAACATAGTGGGGACACTTGACACTCAATTTTGGGCACATTCTATGCATAACTCAGATATAACATTGAGCAACGCAAGAGCAGGTAAAGATATTAAAGTCGCATAGTAATGATCATCATGATAGTTAAACCAACATGGGTCCTTGTTCAAAGTATTCATAGTGTTTTGTTATCTGAAGAGTGTGGCATGAACATGAGCAACCAACATAAGGAGGGAGGACAAAATACGTACTTCTGATGACACTTTTGAGGCAACAGGACAAAGATATGTGGAGAGTATAAGGCACGCAACTGTGAGCTTAATCAGGATTGGGGCTTAGATATAAGAGCTTGTACGGCAACTCTCACTTTTCAAAAAAATCAAATTTTGCTTGGGCCCAGCTTCTCCCGGTTAGAGCAGAGAATGAAAATACACAGGCCGCAAAGTTCTTGCACATACCCCTAGTTAGCACTATTAGCCATTATTATAAGGTTCGTCTTGCAGCTCAATATCAAGTCTGATTCTAATCGCATGGACAAAATAGAAGAAATTCATAGTCCGGAAACAGAGGACAAAAATCAAGCCCCATCCGACTCACAGATCGCCTTGACTAGACAACAGATCCTCTGATATGGCCTGCAGATGTCGAGGTTCATATCAATCCTTGTTCAGTTGATTGTTGCAACAGCTCAAGCTGTTGCTGTTACGATAACACAATTTTTGGACCTTTCCTTCATTTTCATTCTCCGCTTTAACCTTGTATACTTTAGCTTTCACACATGGTGCCACGCGGCACTTCCCCTTTTGTTCAAACTCCTTTTTCTCACGCCATGTTGCCTTCTTCTTATTTTAGATACAACTCTCCCACACAGTGGAGCTGGTCATGCGGGCTAGGCCCCATGACATCATCAGCCACTGACTTTATCAACTGTACAGTACATAAGTACAAATACTCTGTATTAGCATATATATATATACCCCAATAGATCCAGGAGACTCCTCAGCGAGTCCTCCTGTTGTTAACCAACAAACTCTCTGCAGCCTAAGGGGTAACCACTCCCCATTCACTACCTTTATAGTGTGTTCCTGTGTGCGCCCGAGTAACTAACTCTTAATTGTTACAGTTGCTGAGGGGCAAGAGTAGCAACCACGGCCAACATCAGGAAAAACACTTTGGCTATATAGCAGAGGCAATATTATTTATGCTATTATAGCTCTAATAGTACTATATAGCAGAGGCAATACTGTTTATACTATTATAGCTCTGATAGTGCTATATAGCAGAGGCATTACTATAAATGCTATTATAGCTCTTATAATACTATAAGTTTGAGCACACATGTATAATATTATATAGCTAGCCAAGGCATTATAATGGCTTTTATAGCTCTAATAGCCTATATAGCTGTTAATACCATAGTACATATTTATAGTAATGCTTTATCCAAGTATAAGTTGTGACAATGTGTAGAAAAAAAAATGATAAGTCCATAAAAGGTCAATATATTACACATGTATAGTATATTTTGTAAGCCTTTATGGTGTAGTAGATAAATGTATGGTTGATTGGTCAGCAAAAAAGCGGACCAACAGGTTGAGAGTTCAAACCTTGTGTGTGTGATGATTTTTTTGAAATCAGCCACAAGCTCTCTCATAGCTCATATAGTCAGCCATATGCTGTAAGTGCTGTAAGTTCTATAAGAGGCTATAGCTAACTATAAGTGTACTATAAGAGCTCATTGTTCCTGAATAGATGTTGGGGTTTCTATTGCAGCTATGATCACTATGACAACTATATTTGCAACTATAGTACTACTAGAGTCTATATAGCCAAAGTGTTTTTTTCTGATGAAGGCCATATCATAACTTAATTCTGACGGGTTATGGATGGGTTAGAGAATTAATAAACGGTCATCCTGATCAAATAAGGACTGAGTTGGGGATGCGGCAAGAAGTATTTGTAAAGCTTATCGATTTCCTGCAGAGTCACAGGTATACTGACTCCAAGCATGGTCATGCTGGAGGAACAAACCGCCATCTTTCTGTATGCCTGCGTCACTGGTCTATCTACCCGCCATCTTGCTGAACACTTTATCTACAACTCCTATGTACATCCTCCTGAGGCCACTGAGGCCACACCAGCTGCTATTGCCAACAACCCAAAATTTCTCCACTTTAAGGACATCATTGGTGCAATTGACGGCACTCATATTGCCTGCAGCCCTCTGGCTGCAGAGTGTGATGCTGTGCAAAATTGCAAGGGCATGTTCTTGCAGGACTGCCTTTTGTGCTGCAATTTCAACATGCAGTTTACATATGTCCTTAGTGGGTGGGAGGGGTCCACTGCGGATGCCAGTCTCTTTTATGATGCCCGCTCCCATGATCTGTATATACCCCGTGGCCAATACTATCTGGCCAATGTGGAATTTCCCTCATGTGACCAGCTCCTTGTCCCCTACAGAGGTGTGCACTACCACCTGGCTAAATACGCTCGTGGAAACCGCATGTAAGTCCCTAATATATACATTTGGACTAAGCTCACTTCTAAAAGGCCCCAGAACCCGCAAGAGTACTTCAATTTGCGCCATGCATTGGCTCATAACACCATTGAGCATATCTTTGGCGTTCTGAAGCGCTGGTTTTCAATTTTGAAGGCTGCACCTGAATACGACATGTCTGTGCAGGCTCTCATCCCACCTGCTGTTTGCTTCATTCACAAC